CTCTGCCTATGCAGGGATCATGACTAGGAGCAGGAGCCCATCACAGTAGATCCAGGTCTAGGGTGTGGTGGTAGATCTCGGACCGAAGGATCTTGAGGAACTGACCAGAGGTCTCTGGTAAAGCTCAAAGTGTCCACCAAAGAAGAAAAAAGAGAGGGTGGTGGGAGAGCCCTTATAGTGCAGTGGATAAATTCAGAAACAAAGATGTTCCAAATGAACTTACATCTGTTGAGGCTGTGGTCACCAAAATAGGGGGGAACACGTGGCCTTCCTAATGCATGGATGGAGAGAAAACGGTCTCCACGCAGGGTCTGTGTGGTCACTCTCTATGACTTGGGTATTTCCATTCTGGGTGCTCTACGGGGTCCTCAGGTGGATGAACAAATTAGTAAGAGGAGTCACCACAAAAAAAGCCAGTCAGTAGTTCGATTGGGAAAAGTGACTGAAGTGGTTATTCTAAGGTCGTCTGCTTTAGTAAAACATCCAATTACTTTATTTCACCATAGAAAACATAACTTGTGTCTTTAAATTGCCACTTCCTCAGTTCAAAGTGACAAAATTGGTGTACATGGGTAAAAAGATGTCATAGGGTACAATAGGTATTTAACAAAACTTAAAAGAACAGTCAAAATACTGAAAACATATCAAAAGCAATCAAATATGCGAGGGAGAAGTGTGCAAAGAAAAAAATAAATGTAGCAGTCAGGACGTTTCTGATATATCAAACATACCAGCAATGGCATACAAAAATATATAAATCATATAAGAAATGTAGCAATAAGGAGGTCTCCAAAATAAAACATATCAGAGATGGCAAAAATTGTGTTAAAATAATTCTGTGGTTAATGTATCAATGGAAGATTACCTAGTATCAGCTGGTACTTGGGAAATATTATACTAGGTGGAGTGTCTGCAAGGAACAGTTTAGTACTGGCTAATGCCAAAAAAGTAATCAAAAAAAATCATGTATAATCAATATCAAGGAGGGTACATGTGTAGGTCAAGCAGAGAGTGGGGGGAATTGCTGTCACCAAGTAGAAATCACAGAGTTTCGTGGCAATGGTGTCATCTAAGTGGATTACAAGTGGCAAGGAGAGCAGTTCCACAGCCACACTTCCAGGGCAGGTGCCCTCCAAGCCTGGCAGTGTGGTGTTTGGCAGTTGAGACAAATATGCAGAAAAATGATGAAAAGGTGCATCCCTGGGGCTCCTTTGGATATAGGAGAGGTGTGGGGGGAGAGCTGTATTATACTGGGTAGGGTTGAGACCAATGTGGAAGAAAAAAGGAGATAATTGGATCATGATATTTGATTCCTAATATAAGGATGCAAAAAAAAAAAGGGAGAATGGAACAGTGGTCATCTATAAGGAATAATGTATGATCTGGATGTACTTTTAGTGATGTTTTAGGTCGAGGTTCTGGATTGGCACTTTATTAAGAATCATTGTCAAGCCAAATAGATGCATGCTGTGACTGAATGATCATAACACAATGAAAGGATGAATCATGAAAAGATAAAAGTGAGTACAAGATATAAAAGATTCATAAAAACTGTTTAAAAATATTAAAATAATAGTATTCGATAAACTGAGTGTCAGATATGGGACTTATTATTATAGATAATACATATTACTATATAAAATAAACAGTTTATAGATATAGGCAGCACAGTGGCTAAATGGTTAGCACTTCTGCCTGGCAGTACCAGGGTCGTTGGTTCGAATCCCAACCACGGGATCACCTGCCTGGAGTTTGCATGTTCTCCCTGTGCCTGTGTGGGTTTCCTCCAGGTACTCTGGTTTCCTCCCACACTCCAAAGACATGCGGGTAGATTAATTGGCTCCTGTCTAAATTGGCCCTAGGATATGTATATACATGGGAGTTAGGGACCTTAGATTGTACACCCCTTGAGGGTTAGGGACTGATGTGAATGTAATATATATGTAAAGCATATCACCATCCATTAAATCATGTTTTGCTGCAAACGTATACACCAATTTTATTTCCCTTATGTTATATATCCATTTTTTAATGACACATTGATCACATCTCAAAATTCATCTTTTAGCCCCCTGCTTACCATTCCCGACAATGATTGTCACCTTTTTTTATACTCATTTTTCCCTTTGTTTTAATTATTTTTATAGTATAATAGCATTGCTTCATTTATATATTGTTATTACTTTTTTTTTATATCCACCAACTTTTTTTTTCATTATGTATATAAATTATTTATATTATTTTTAGCAATCCTTAATATCTTGCACTCACTTTTATCTCTTCATGATTCATTCTTTTATTGTGTTATGATTATTCAATCACAGCATGCATCTATTTGGCTTGACAATGATTCCAGATCCTCCAGACCCTCAACCAAAAACATCACTAAAAATACATCTGGTTCATGCATTATTCCTTATATATGAGCACTTATTTTTTTTTTTTTCTTTTTGCATCTTTCCATTAAATATCATGATCCAACTATCTCCTTCTCACTTTCTCTCCTCCACACTGGTCTCAACCCTCTGCACAGCTCTCCCCCATCCCTCTCCTACATCCAAAGGGGCCCTAGGGATGCTCCTTTTAATCATTCTGCTTATCTATTTCAACTGCTTGTATGCCATTTCTGATCTGTTTGATTTTTTTGAAGACCTCCTTACTGCTAAATATATTATGTTATTATAGATTATTTTATGCCATCTCTGAAAGACTTGATATTTAAGAGACCATCTTACTGCTACATTTATTATATTAATATATATCTATCTCCTAGATTGTAAGCTCGAAAGAGCAGGGCCCTCGATCCCCTCATGTTTTGCATTGTATTGGTATTGTTCTGTCACATGTTCTGTCCCCCTTTGTAATGTACAGCGAGCTGAGCGAACTATTGGCGCTTTATAAATACTGTATAATAATAATAATATTTATATATTGCCGTCTCTGACATGTTTTCGATATTTTAGAGACTTCCTTACTGCTCCATGTATCCCCACTGCTACATTTACTTTATTATTTGCACCCTTCTCCCTTGATTGCTTTCAGTTTGTTTTGAGTTTTTTTGACTGTGCTTTTGAGTCATATTAAATACCTATTGTACCCTCTGACAAATTTTACCCACAGACACCACTTTTATCACTTTGAACTGAAGAAGTGGCATTTTAAAGCTACAAAACGTGTTAGTCAGTGAAATAAAGTACTTGAATGTTTTAGTAAAGCAGACGACTTGCGCCGTCCTTTGAATCCCTACTCCGAGCGCCTCTGCCAATTGAACTACCGACAGGCTTTTTTTGCACTGACTCTTCTTACCATCACACTTGATCAAAGGCCAGGGGCGGACTGACAACTCATGGGGCCCCCGGGCAATAGGGGATCATGGGGCCCCTGTGTCCTTGCCCAAACTCAAAAAAGCCTATGAAAAAGGTACCAGGGGCATCTCATGGGGCCCCCTACTGACCCCGGGCCCTCGGGCAGTGCCTGAGTTTCCAAATGGTCAGTCCACCCCTGTCAGAGGCGTTTATTGTTGCCAGGTTACTTAGGATGATATTTGATGAGTTGATGTGGGTCACTGAATTTAGTCCACGATTATTGTCGTTTGTTTTGGACTGCGACTATGTGCTATATGACTGACTCTTATAATGAATGGAAGAAGGGCATGCAGCTCCCTAGAGCTGTACACATGATGGGGGCACGATCCTTCACTTTGGTGCCACAGCAAAAAAAAACTGCATTTAGGTGTATGGAGCCACGCCGCAACCTGCAGCATGGTGGTTTAGCTTCTTGTGTTATAACAGGCGGTGAGGAGGTGACATATCGCCTCCTCACCACCTGTCAAACGCCCTCTGATATCTAATCCACGTGGGTCGCTCTTCATAGGGGCTGCAAGAGCATCCGCACTTGAGAAGGAACCCTAAGCCTGGGTTCACATATATGTGGCGCGGTATATCGCATACGATTCGATCAGGAACCGCACCGCATTCTTGTGCAAATCACATGCGATTTGTGTGCGGTGCGATTGGTGCGCAACGTACCCGCACCAAAAAGGTGCAGTACCCTTTTTTGGGTCCGCACTAGAATCGGATCACATGGGTATTCGTACGTATGAGATCCGATTCTGCACATCACACCGCGTTTTATGGACCGCTTTCGTGGTGTTGTTAACATACACACCCGCAGCGGTTTGCATGAACGGGGTGCGATTCTGATGCAGTGCGGAATTCTTGTGAACCAGGGCTTAAATGTTAAAGGTTATGTGAGATTTTAGTGATTTATTTACAGAAGATTGGGAGGTGACACACTGGGATTAATTTACTAAAACTGGAGAGTGCAACATCTGGTGCAGATCTGCATAGAATCCAATCAGCTTCCAGGTTTTATTGTCAAAGCTTCATTGAAGAAGCTGAAGTTAGAAGCTGATTGGTTTCTAGGCAGAAGTGAGCCTGATTTTGCACTCTCCAGTTTTTTTAGTACAAGTCTTAAATCTCCCCCAGTGTACAAGTCTTAGTCAATCTCCCCCAGTGTACAAGTCTTCGTCAATCTCCCCCAGTGTACAAGTCTTCGGCAATCTCCCCCCTGTGTACCCATGCTGTCCTCATTTGTTCAGTAGAACAGGTGCAGCATCTTTTATTCTGTTAGCAGCAGATCCCTGTACTAAATGATACATCCCAGGGAAAGTATTCCTAGTGAGTGATGAGCAGCCATGTAGCTGTGATCTCCTCTCTGCCCTCCATGGACTGCGCTCCTTTCACAACTTGTGGATGCAGGCATGCTGTCAGCGCTCTCCTCCAATCACAGCGCTGGTCCTCGCTGCTCGGCCAGCTAGTGGCAGCATCTGTTTTTTCTTGTCCTCCGACAATAAGTAGCTCATCACAGCATCGCCTTTAAGGCTGGGCCACTCCTCCCAGATTGGTGCAGAGACAGTGCCTGGACGGGTGTATCGGGTGTGGGAATTCCATCACCTTCCTCCCCTGCCCATCACTGGCCCATCAGAGGGACAGGCAGGATGGTGTCCTGGATCATCTCCAGACTGGTGGTGTGAGTATGGCAGAGGGACATGCTGCTGCTCTGTGCAGGTGATGGACATGTGGCTGTGTGTGTGTCTGGGGCTCCTCCATCCTGGTCTGCATGAAGGAGGAGGATGATGATGATGGAAAGTACATGGAGGATCCCGGATGACCTGTCACTCATCAGATGCTGGACACGGGGCTGTCTAGTGATGTAAACAAATAGATCGGGCCTCAGGAGCGTGGAGGGCCCTTTACTTATGAAATCGTATCACTAAGGCAAGGCTGGGACATCCAGGGACACAACCCGGCTCTGCTCTGCACATGGATGTAGTCGGGGGATATGATGATGAGTGATCATGTCATACCTAATAATAATGAGAATGGAACTACTAATTAATTAGAGGATCCCTGGGGGTTGTCCATGTTTTCATTACTTACTGATCCAGTGAGCCATTTGTCGTATTAAATGACAATGCTGCACCCCTGTCTATGCTGGGATCATGACCAGGAGCCCATCACACTAGATCAGAGTGAGCCATTTGTCATATTCAATTCCAATGCTGCACCCCTGTCTATGCCGGGATCATGACCAGGAGCCCATCACACTAGATAGGAGTGAGCCATTTGGCGTATTAAATGACAATGCTGCACCCCTGTCTATGCTGGGATCATGACCAGGAGCCCATCACACTAGATCAGAGTGAGCCATTTGTCGTATTAAATGACAATACTGCACCCCTGTCTATGCTGGGATCATGACCAGGAGCCCATCACACTAGATCAGAGGTGTTTACTGTTGCCAGGCTACTTAGGATGTCTTTTGATTGGTTGCCATGAGTTACCTATGTATACATGATTTTGCACAGCCCTGCCGCCCTGTAGCAGTATTTCTGCTATAGGGCAGCGGGGAAGCGATTAATAGATATGCATTGCGTTGATGTGCGTTTACACAAAATTGCATGCATTGCATTGTATTAAATTTCATATATGTAGCATTTTAACGCAACACAATACACGTGACACCAGCATTGGAGACAAAGAAAACAATTGTTACCTGTGTCCTTGCAGTGACCTCGCAGGTTACTGCAATATGTGTGAACAGGACTGAACCATTGTGCTGCAATTTACAGCTTGGCCCCATACACTCAAAGCTGGTTCAGTTTTTGCAGCGAAGTAAAGCATTGTGCCCCTCCTAATATGAGCCCCATCACGATCCAGCAATATACACGAGAGCCTCAGCTCTCCCAGGACTCTTTTTCCTCACTGGCTTACACTGCTGTCAATCACAGCCAGTGAGGCAATGAGGAGAGAGTGGGAGCAGGGCCGAGCTACAGCTCTGTGTGTGAATGGACACACAGAACAGTGGGGCTTGGGAGCGAATCTGCTTGGGTGCCCCCATAGCAAGCCGCTTGCTCTGGCGGCAGGAGGGATAGGCCAGGAGCTCCAGTGGGGGACCCAAGAAGAGGAGTATCAGGGCTGCGCTTTGCAAAACCATTGTACAATGCAGGTAAATATGATGTGTTTATTATGTAAAAAGAAAAAATAGATTAGAACCACTTTCAGGCAGCCTTTCTCAACATTTTTACCTCTTTGGCTCCCACTGCTGTAAATCACAGTCAGTGAGGAGGGAGTGGGGAGCCAGACTGAGCCACACTCCCATAGACACACATAGGTGGCACGGGAGCACACGAGTCCAGACGGCAGACAGGCGACAGCCACAGGTAGAGTGATATACCAGTACATCGCTCTGGTTGTACTAATACCCGGGGGGTGTTGCATCTCCCCCCACCCCCCGCGACACAGTGGGACCCGGTGGTCATGTGAATCCATCTGATTCATAACAGCTTTGATTCCCTTCCTAGTGAGCTGTGATTGGGCTACAGGTCTCACATGGTACATGGCCAATCCCAGGTCACTAGTATTTTGAACTGTCATGAACTTAACCCATGACAGTTCGAAACAAGCATTGGATTGCTCCTGCACAGCAAAGTGTAAAAAAAAAATTCCTGATCACCCCCCCAGAGTAGTACAGTGTTACTATGGTAACATTAAACTACTCTGATGAAAGTTTTTTTTTTTAATAATAAAAAAATAATGTTAAACATATTAGCCAATCAGGAGTGAGAGACCCCAGAGAACCAAGCCTCTCGTGAACATCCCTAAATCAGGATGGGGCTCAGGTAAGTGTTGGGGGGCTGCTGTGCACAGAAGGTTTTTTATCTTCATGCATGGAATGTATTAAGGTAAAAAAACAAAAATTTGAGCCTTTAGAACTAGGAGTAGATACCCCCCTTTCTGCTGCTCGTATTGCTGAACACTAATCTGTTTAAGACAGGTAGCCACCTCAGATTTGTGCAGAAATCAACACTCCCAGGATCAGAAGATTTGTAAGGATACAAAAGGCTGCATTTTTCTAATACACTGGAAATATGGGGCATGCTTAACTAAAGTGGTTGTGAAGGCTCATGGTTTTTTACCTTTATGCATTCTATGCATGAGGTTAAAAAACATTTGATGTGCAGCATTGCCACCCCCCCCCCCCCCCCCCCCAATACTTACCTGAGCCCGATCTTGTTTCAGTGATGTGCACAACAACGGTTGTTCTCCCGGGTTTCTTCCTCCTCATTGGCTGAGACAGCAACTGCAGCCATTGGGTTGTGATACTGTCAGCCACAGCCAGTGAGCCAATGAGGAGAGTGGGGGGGCGGGCCATACAGAGCAGTGGCTCAGGAGTGAGCCTGTTCAAGTGCCCCCACAGCAGGAGGCTTGCTCTGGGGGCACTCAGCAGGTGGGAGACCCCGAAAAGAAGAGGATCGGGGCTGTTCTGTGTAAAACCAATGCACAGAGCAGGTACGTATTGTGATGAACGTGGTGCCTGACCCCTGCCCGTCTCACCAACTCGTGAAAAAGGACTGAGCAATCTCACACCACGCTGTCACCTAACAATGCCACTCTCAGCTGCACCCTGCACAAAGATTTTCCAGCTTCCACAATCTAAGTGCCAGCAGCCTGAGAGCGATTGTCACTGGGTTAAGTTAATTAAGTGATTAACCCTTTAAATGCCACCACTGCCTTTTTACCGAGAAGGAGGAAACTCACAATCTTAGCAATAACAACTATGATTTTAGAATAAACGTCTGTACACACACTCACCACAGACAGGTATATTCAGAGATTTGTCATATACAGTAGCACTCTTCAAGAGACAGGAATTCTTTAGTTTACATTAAAAGCTTTAGAGACAGTTTTAACACTTCAAAATAGGTTTCTTTACAGTAAGAGCTGTGAAAATGTGGAATAGACTCCCTCAAGAGTTGGTTCTGGCCAGCTCAGTGGATTGCTTCAAAAAAGGCCTGGATTATTTCTTAGATACACAGAATATAACTGGATATTAACATTTATAGGTAAAGCTGATCCAGGGAATATCCGATTGCCTCTCGGGGGATCAGGAAGGAATTTTTTTCCCTTCAGGAGAAAATTGGATCGTGCTTTGCTGGTTTTTTTTGCCTTCCTCTGGATCAACTGAGGGTGTAGGATTATCATTTTTTTTTTTTAATGGCTGAACTGAATGGACTTTTGTATTTTTTCAGCCAGACTAACTATGTAAATAGGGTTTATTAATGAAAAGGTCAAAATGGTGCAAATAAAATATTTACAGAAAAAAAAGGTGCTATAAAGAGATAAAAAGACAATAAATCAACAGATAGATAAAAAAGGAGACGAAAATGAAGAATACTTGCAAATCCTTTGGTTTTAGCAGAGTTCAGTCAATAAGCAAGGTGTTATCGGCTCTCATAACTTGACAGATGTCCCTTTGTTGATGGTACACGAAAGCTGTCAAAACAGAGCCAGATCTAGCCTGTCTGATGTGGGGGCGCAGTAAAAAAATGTCGGGGGCAGAGGATAGGGGGTCAGCTGGGCAGAGAATAGGGTCAGTAGTTTGCAGAGCAGTGTATAAGGGTCAGCAGGGTGGGGGACAGGAGTCAGAAGGGAGGAGGACAAGGGTCAGCAGGGCAGTTTACAGGGGATAAGGGTCAGTAGGGTGAAGGACATGGCTCGACAGAGCTCCTCCCATTCCTGCACACTGCGCAGATTGAGGTTGTGTGTAAAAGAATCCAAGCTCAGCTACTGTATGCATTGTGTGTGAAGGAGGAGCTCTGCTGCCTGTGCCCAGGCTGTGTGCAGTGCAGGGATGGGAGAAGGCACTCGTTGGCGGGGTGCATGGGATTTCACTCGCAAATTATTGCACATATGTGTATGCATGTAGGACCCAGCCTAAGAAAAGCTAGAGGCATTTTTATGCGTGAACAAATGCATTTTTTATGCAGCCTATTACAAGAATTTTGTTGCATTTTCAGAAAGCGCACCAAACTCGTGGGACACAATATAACTCTCGGAAAGCGCAGCTAACTTGCTGTAAACACGCGGGACAAACCGCACCACAGAAGTGTGAAAGGCGCCATACAGATCTGCATGTTTACGCACCCGTGTAAATGTATCCATTGGAAACATTGCGGCTACTTTCAGATCTGTAAATAAAAACTGCTTGTAAATGTGGTTTTTTTTTTTTAACCACTTCCCATCCGCCCCATAACAGAAATACTGCTACAGGGCAAAATCACGTATATATACATATGATTTTGCACTTCCGGGTAGGGGGCGCGTGCGAGCCTGGTGGGTGCCCCACCTGCGCCACCATTCGTGGCCGCTGCTGTCAATCATAGGTTCCCGACCAATAACTCGCCGGCGTTTGCTGATTTCTGAAGATCTCAGACAGGGAGGAGAACTGTTTTGTTTACTAACAGTTCTCCTCCCTGTCAGCTCGGGCACATTGCTTTGTATGTCTGTGCACAGCACAGCCATCCAGAGCAGTGTGATTACAGTGAAGCACACACCGCCCCCTAGTAAAACGCTCCCTGCACACAGTTAACCCTTTGATCGCCCCTCATGTTAACCCCTTCCTGCCCAGTGCCATAAGTACAGTGCCAGTGCTTTTTTTTAGCACTGATCACTGTATTGGTGTCACTGTGGATGTCAGTGACACCAAGTCAGTTCCCCCCAGTGTCAGAATGTCCGACACAGTCCCGCTATAAGTCGCTGATTGCCGCCATTACAAGTAAAAAAAAAAATCCCAGTATATATATCGCCATTTGTAAACGCTATAACTTTCACGTAACCCAATTAATTTACACGTATTGGGAGTTTTTTTTAGCAAAGACATGTCACAGAATACATTTTGGTGCAAATTTATGAGGAAATTTCATTATTTTACTGGACATGATTAATAGCAAAAAGTCAAAATACTGTTTATTTCTCAAAATTGTCGCTCTTTTTTTTTATAGCGCAAAACAATAAAAACCGCACGGGTGATCAAATACCACCAAAAGAAAGCTCTATTTGTGGGAAAAATGGACGTAAATTTAATTTGGGTGCAGTGTTGCATGACCGCGCAATTGTCAGTCAAAGTAACGCAGTGCCGTAATGCAAAAAATGGCCTGGTCAGGAAGGGGGGTAATTCTTAGGAGGGCAAGTGGTTAAGCCATGTGAATAAAGCCTATAAAAGAGCCACCCCAGCACCCTCCTAGACCTGGCCATGTGTCTAAAGGTCCTGACATTCCCTATTTCTGTGGTATCAAAAGGGTATTGACAGAGACCATCTGACCAATCATCTGGTTTAAGGGGTGGTGGCTGGGAGGTCATCACATTGATGACCAAGTCCTAAATATAGTTTCCTATAAGTATTCATAGTTTTAAATATGTAAATTTACGGTCTGCTAGCATAAAGATTATTGTCCAGCATTATATTTTGCATCCAGGGATACCAAACACAGAGTATTTTGGATGGGCCTGTAACTTAGGAGAGATGAGACTGCCATCTCACCCTCTGTATGTGCTAGGTTAGCCATGTATGATCTTCATTTGTATTATATTCCCCATTCAAATATATACTTATTATTAATGTGTCTTGGTCCTGTTTAATCTTATGAATTGTGTGTGGATTTTGTGATTGTTTTGATTTTGGCAGAGGTCTCAGAGAGGTAGCCCCACACCTGTCTGCTTTCTGTGTAGACATTTAATGACACGCTATGTGTTCCTAGTGCTTTAATTGCCCTACACATCATGTGTGGCAGAACTGAAGGATTTTGTCATAGTTTTAGGAAAGGTCAGAGGGGTGTTTTAATATGTAGAGTTTGATTTTTTTTTTTTATTTATGGTCAGCAGACATCCTGCCAGGACTTAACTAGCTATTTACAGCTCTGTAAAGGCCTGTGTGCTGGTGTCTGCTGTCACTAAGTTGAGATAATAGGCTCTTTTGAAGTTTGTTAAAAGTTAAGGCTATTAATTCCATGAACTGCAGGAGGAGGGAGGGGGTAAGGTCACTTGGGTCATGACAAAAATGGCTGAGACCTGAACAAGCCTGCAGCTTCCATCTGCCTAATATGCACAACCATTATAAGTATGACATGTTTGTTTGTTATTTTAAAAAAAAAAAAATTGCCTTTAATATCACTTTAAGATGGCCATACATACATTTTTTCAGTTTCCAGTTACTGATTTCTCCTAAATTAGACCCAAATTACAACATATCACTGCCAGAATACATTCCCAAGCCGTCAGCCTTTGACTATGGCATTCCAAAATTCATGAACAATGCACCGGAATCCAGACATTAACAATATATTGGAAGTTCAAGGATGAAGTTGTGAAAATAATACTGTCTAGTGTCCTTAATCACGTATTGTATCTGTCCTGGATTAATGGTCTGCTTTGTTGGTTAAATAGAATTTGCTGAGTTGAAGGCAGCTGATATTACATCTGTTTTATTTTTCAATACAAGCTGTCAAGAAAAATCAACTGTTTTTCCAAATCCGAAATAAGGACCCAGGCGGGGTTGTCTAGTAAATAACTCTAGACTGACGTATCGAGAATACATTATAGTAGAATATTATTATACTGATTTTTCATGAACTGTAGCATTTAGTATAATTGGTTTTATCTTTATGCACTCATTTCTGTAGTTTTTTTCTGCATTAGTAGATGCCGTGTTCATCCTGTTTTACTTCCACTGTATGTATTATACATACAGTATAAAGGAGTTAATCTGACGTGTTAAAAGCGATTGTCTAGTCAGCAGAAATATTTGCCTAATCCGGGAAGCTAATCTATTTATTTTTCACTGACAGAAGAAATGACTAAAGTGTAACTTCACTCTCTCAAACAATGACTATTTGTAATCCTCATGTTGCTAGCATTATTAAATAGATAGGAAAGTATATCCTATTTACTTGTTTTCAACTGTTCTTTTACATTTTTACTTTAGTTACTTCCTAGTTTCTATGCCTAGGCAAATGACAACATACATCCTAGGAGTCTTCAGGATGGAAGGAAGGATTTTCTCAGCTAAGCACACCTTCCTGCCTGCATGCCTAATCTAAGGGCAGATGGATTCCAGGAAGTACATTGTACATGAATCATCTGCTCTTATTTAGGGTAGCCACTGCCAGAAATGCTAGTGGTGTCTTTGAAAGTGATTTCTCAGCAAAATAAAGCAAGGAGACATGGATAGTTGGGTAAGTTTGCTTTGAATATAAAAAATGAATTAAATAGCGTTTTTGATTTGTGGTGCTCAGAGGCAGTGTAGTTCCTCTTTGAGGCTGACACTTCTCGTCTAAAACATACGCTGTTTATTAACCAGTACATGCCCGGCCAATAGCCAAAAGGCGGCCGGCAAAATGTACTGCATTTCTGGGTTGGACGCCAAATGGCGTCCTCCTGCACACACGCAGTTTGCGCTCCTGCAGAGCCGCACAGCGGCGCGATCTGTCACCGGCCGTGTACCTCGGACACGGCCGATGACAGACCTGAGTATCGGCCCCGTTGCCGGTACCATGTGACCTGCTGATCAATCACAGCAGGTCACATGACAGTTGTATACAATGGATGACTTCATTCATGCCATCCATTGTATACTACTGTCTATCTGTGAATGGTCACAGCTAATCACATGCACATGTCACGTGATTAGCTGTGGCCAAATCACAGCTAAGCACAAAAAAAAAAAACAAACAAAAACCCTGAATGAATCGATGTCATTCAGGTAAATGCTTGCTTATAGCAAAGTAATTCTTTGCTATAAGCAAATTGTGTAAAAAAAAATAAAAAATACTGATCACTTCCCCAAAGTAGTACAATGTTACTATGGTAACATTGTACTACTTTGGTCATAATGAAATATGAAAAAAAATCTTAAAAAAAAAAGTAATAAAAAATTAAAAAAAAAAAAAATTAAAAAAAAAAAAAATATATATTTTTTTTCATACTGTCACTGGTCAGTGTCCCTGATCATCGCCATGCCAGTTATATGAAGACGCTGTACTGCACTGGTGACAGTATGTAAAAAAAAATAGTGAAAATAATTTTTTGCATTTTTTCATTTTCCAAAAAATTTTGACAAAAAAATACAACTTCAAAAAACTCGCCATGCCTCTTATGAAGTACGTCGGACTGTCTACTCTGCAAAAAGGGGTCATCTGGGGGATATCTGTACTATTCTGACATTCTTGGACCTCAAGAAATTAGATTGGCCGCCAGTACTTCAGGATTGATCAATATTCAGATATGTACCATAGTTTGTGAACTCTATAACTTTCCTACAAACTAAAAAATACATCCTAATTTGGGTTATTTTTCACCAGACACGTAGTAGAATACATCTCGGCCTAAATTTATTTGCAAACTTTTATACCAGAAACAAAGAAAAAGGTGTTTTTTTTTCAAAATGTTCGGTCTTTTTTTGATAATTTAGCAAAAAATAAAAACCCCAGTGGTGATTAAATACCACCAAAAGAAAGCTCTAGTTGTGTGAAGAAAATTATAAAATTTTAGTTTGGGTACAATGTTGTATGACCGCGCAATTGTCATTCAAAGTGTGAGAGCGCTGAAACCTGAAAAATGGCCTGGGCAGGAAGGGGGTAAAATTGCCCGGTATTCAAATGGTTAAAGTGGACCTGAATTCAAAATGTGAAAATTTGCTATGTTATAGGGAACTTCTAGAAAGGTTAAAAGAGAAATGTAGGAATATAAAATAACAAACACACGTCCTCTGCTAGATGGCTGCAATATTGATTCAATGTCCCCCACCAGCTTTACACTGAAAACTGAGCGATCAAAGTCCAGTGATTGCTCAGTTCTTGGGTCTGCTCTGAGCAAAGGGCAGGGATTGTCAGTTGCTGACTCTCTGCTCTGCCCCTCCAGTGCTCACTGGAGTGCCAGGCTGTGGAGGGTGCAGAATGTCCAGGCTCCCAGAAGTGCACTGAGAGGCTAATCCAGCTACTGATTAGGCATCTGGGCGGATCCTGACATTATTGTCTGGATCCCTGCAGAGTCTAGAGTGGCTCTGTGATGTCAGCTGATGGCAGACTTTTTCCCGCTGTCGGCTGAATCTGGTTCATATGACGTCCTCCCATTCTAACTGCACACGTGCGCAGATTAGTAGTGCACTGTGTTTCTGGGACACAGCGTATCACCAATCACAGTAAAGAGCTGATGACACAGACTTAGTCATGTGATCAGCTATGTCCAATCACACCTGATCGCATGTAAACAGGAAATGCCAGTTATCGGCAGTCCTCACCTCACACTGACAGCGTGTGAGGAAAGGAGAGCTGATAAGCGTCATTCCTCAGAGGGGAGATCTGCACTGATCATTAGGTTACTGATGATCAGTGCCCTGATGATCAATGTAGCCCCACCGGTGTCAGCTATCAATGCCACATACCAGTGCCCATGAGTGCCACATATCAGTGCGTACCAGTGCACATCAGTGCCACATATCAGTGCCCGTCAAAACTGCCTTTCAGTTCTATCAGTGCCAGTCAATGACACCTATCAGTGCCAGTCAATGACTCCTATCAGTGTCACCTATCAGTGCCTGTCAGTGCTGCCTATCAGTGCCATATATGAGTGGTGCCTTTCAGTGCCCATCAGTGATGCCTGTCAGTGCCTGCCAGTGATGCCTGTCAATGCCCATCAGTGCCACCTATCAGTGCCTCCTCATCAGTGACGCCTATCAGTGCCCATCACTGCAGCCTCATTAGCGCACATCAGTGAAGGAGAAAAATTACTTATTTACAAAATTTAACAGAGAAACTAATAAAAAAACTTTTATTTTTCAAAATTTTCAGTCTTTTTTTTAGTTTGTTTAGCAAAAAATAAAAAACCCAGAGGTGATTAAATGCCACCAAAAGAAAGCTCAATATGTCTCAAAAAAAGGATACAAATTTAGTTAGGGTACAGTGTTGCATGACTGCGCAATTGTCATTCAAAGTGCGACAGTGCTGAAAGCTGAAAATTGGCCTGGGCAGGAAGGGGGTAAAAGTGCCCGGTAGGCAAGGGGTTAAAGAAGCCTATCCTTCTTCTAACTAACAAACTGCATTTTTACTTTCTCCATCAGCTCATCTCCCACAGCAATTATCTTTTGTTTCATTCAACCCTCCCTCTTAGATTGTAAGCTCTAATGAGCAGGGCCCTCTGATTCCTCTTGTACCAAATTGTATTGTAACTGTAATGTCTACCTTCATTTTGTAAAGCGCTGCGCAAACTGTTGGCGCTATATAAATATTGTATAATAATAATAATGCACTGCGCAAACTGGCGCTATATAAATCCTGTATAATAATAAGAATAAAAAAGCACTGCACAAACTGTTGGCGCTATATAAATCCTGTATAATAATAATAATAATAATAATAAAGCACTGTGCAAACTATTGGCACTGTATAAATCTTGTATAATAATAAAGCACTGCACAAACTGTTGGCACTATATAAATATTGTATAATAATACTAACAATAATAAAGCACTGTGCAAACTGTTGGCACTGTATAAATCATGTATAATAATAATAAAGCACTGTACAAACTGTTGGCACTATATAAATATTGTATAATAATACTAACAATAATAAAGCACTGTGCAAACTGTTGGCACTGTATAAATCATGTATAATAATAATAAAGCACTGTACAAACTGTTGGCACTATATAAATCCTGTATAATAATAATAAAAAAGCACTGTGCAAACTGGCGCTATATAAATACTGTATAATAATAATAAAGGCACAAACTGTTGGCACTATATAAATACTGTATAATAATAATAATAATCCTAATAATAAAAAAGCACTGTGCAAACTGTTGGAGCTATATAAATACTGTATAATAATAATATAATAATAATAATAAAGCACTGCACAAATTGTTGGCACTATATAAATCCTGTATAATAATAATCATAATAATAATAAAAAAAGCACTGTGCAAACTGTTGGCACTATATAAATCCTGTATAATAATACTAATAATAATGAATCCTGTATTATAATAATAATAATAATAATAATAATAGCAGCATTGTGCAAACTGTTGGCACTATATAAATCCTGTATAATAATACTAATAATAATAATGAATCCTGTATTTTATTAATAATAATAATAATAATAATAATAATAATAAAGCATTGTGCAAACTGTTGGCACTATATAAATCCTGTATTATAATAATAAATAATAATAATAAAAAATATAAAGCACTGTGCAAACTGTTGGCAATATATAAAACCTGTATATATTTATTTATTTATTTCAGGTACTTATATAGCGCTGTCAATTTCCGCAGCGCTTTACATACATATATTGTACATTCACATCAGTCCCTAACCCTCAAGGGGCATACAATCTAAGATCCCTAACTCCCATTGATACATACACATACTATGGCCAATTTGGACAGAATCCAATTCACCTACCAGCATGCCTTTGGAGTGTGGGAGGAAACCAGAGTACCTGGAGGAAACCCACGCAAGCACAGGGAGAATATGCAAACTCCATGCAGGAGATGCCATGGTCGGGAATCGAACCCATGACCCATTTACTGCAAGGCAGACGTGCTAACCATTAAGCCACTGTGCCACCCAATATAATAATAATAATTATTATTATTTTATAGGTGACGTGATATGTATTTATATCAATTTTTTGTGAGTACAATAGAATAATAAAGTTTTTTTGAGGATCTTATGTTGTGTTGGTGCGCTGTCTTTTTATTTCACTTTGCAATCTAGCAACTTTGTATTGTAACCTACCTTCCATTCACACTGGTTTTGCATGACCCTCTTAGACTTTACAGGTTTGGGACAACTATGGACATCTCCCTCCATCTTGTACATTGCAGGGTTTGTAGCCTGATGCTTCTTCCTAGGTCAAATGCTGTCTCATGGGGTAATAGTAACAGTAAGCTGTGAGCATATAGTGACTTTACGAAAGCATATATGTGGAAAGTATTGGGGGGGGCTACAGTGGAAGATCAGGGGAGTGGGATACAGTGAAGCAAAGACCAGGCACTTCTTGGTCCTTGCTGTACATTGTATGAGTTTGTCAGTGCAGAATACAGGATTTCTTTCTATCGAGGTTTACACACTACATGTGTAGTTGTGTTAGTTCAGCAAGAAAGGCGGATATTCTCTTAGTAAACATTGACTTTTCCAGGTTCTAATTTTTTGCAGTAAATGCAGTGAAAGGTGATTACATGTTAAGGTGTTATGAATTATATTTGTGAGTAATGTTACTGTTACGCTATTAAACACTATAAATAAAACCCCCCAGACTCAGACTTCTACCCCACTAATAAAGCCTAAATTATCATGACATGACAGATAAGGCAACCTAAAATCATGCATTGTATTACAAAACCATTAAGCTATACAAGGAATATAGATGTCAGATTGTTTCAGCAGATTTACTGTTTAGCCCATTATATTATTTGATAGTGCTATATATGAGGCATTGTGGCACCAGTTTGTTACTATTATTCTTTGGCCAAGGATTTGGAATCTTAATTGTTTTTGTAATAAAATATATGATTTTAGGTTGCCTTATATGACGTGTCACGATAATTTAGGCTTTATTAGCGGATAAAGTCTGAGTCTGGGGGGTTTTATTCATAGCATTTAGCTATATGAATGATCACATATCTAAAACTGTGAATAAAACCCCCCAGACTCAGACTTTACCCCGCTAATAAAGCCTAAATTATCGTGACACGTCCGATAAGGCAACCTAAAAAAAAACAAAGCTATAATATAATTTTGGGGGAGTTATTTGTATGAACAAAGACCTCCCCCCAAATTATATTATAGCTTTGTTTTTTGTTTTGTTGGATTCTATGGATTCTTGCACTAACTTACAATAAGGACTTGGTTTGAGAAAAATCTTTTTTTTTTTTATTTCATGAACTATTATTACGCTGTGTTTTGATTATCTGATTCATTAGAATTTTTTTTTTTCTTAGGCTGCTGTTCGGTACTTTATATCCAGCGTATTCATCATACAAAGCTGTCAAGACAAAAAAATGTGAAAGAATATGTAAGTAGCAAAAAATATTACTCAGTTCCTTTTTTCTTTCTTGGCAAAAATAAATGACAATGACAAGATAACATTATGTGTGTGTATACAGTATATATATTTATTGGGATCTATTTTTTAGAGATGCACTTGGAAATTTATTGACATTCGCCCAAGTGAATTTGAACAGCATTTTCCCTGTGTTCCATGGTCACATATATCCTGTTAATGATAGGATGAATATGTGCCAGGCAATCGCAGCAGTTCGCTGTCAATATCACTCTGTGGTGCTTTACAGTTTCTGCACCAGGAGAGGTAAATTTTAATTTTTTCAAATCATAAACAGAACAGCGTGTTCCCCCAGAACTAACCAGCCCAGCATACCAGGCATTCTGGCCAGTATTCCCATAGAAAGGGAACAGCTATTGTTCAGCAGCCCTAATATTTTAAATGAGTGAGTAAGAAGAGGGATTCCCTTAAAATGCGGTGGCCAGAAGGGCGTGCTGGAAGGTGGGGAAGCTTTCGTACCACCTACTTGCTCACTGTCCATGTGGCTAAGCAGTTAAAGTGAATGTTGCACTTAAAGCAAGTTCTTGTGATTAAATATATACACACTGTATACATTTTTCCACAATGGACCTGATCTGTGCTGAAATCTCTGTTTGCTTGTCCATTTTCACACACCTCAGCTGATCTACAGTGCAAAGAAAACCGTGTCCTGTGTTGTAAAACTAACATCCTCCCCCCAAAAGCCAGAAAACAATAGCAGATTATTTTCTTGTGCAGCTAAACTCAGTTTGAACATTAAGGAAGTTCCCACCACTGTCATAGTTTGAAGTGCCTAGGGAACTCTGGGGAAGGAGTTCCCTATGACCTCATTACCCATATACAGTATCTCACAGAAGTGAGTACACCCCTCACATTTTGTAAATATTTTATCACATCTGTATTATAATCTTCTTATAGCCTAGGCCATCTTTATGTAGAGCAACAATTCTTTTTTTTCAGATCCTCAGAGAGTTCTTTGCCATGAGGTGCCATGTTGAACTTCCAGTGACCACTATGAGAGCGTGAGAGAGATAACACCAAATTTAACACACCTGTTCCCCATTCACACCTGAGACCTTGTAACACTAACGAGTCACGTGACACCAGGGAGGGAAAATGGCTAATTGGGCCCAATTTGCACATTTTCATTTAGGGGTGTACTCACTTTTGTTGCCAGCGGTTTAGACATTAATGGCTGTGTGTTATTTTGAGGGGACAGCAAATTTACACTGTTATACAAGCTGTACACTCACTACTTTACATTGTACGAAGTGTCATTTCTTCAGTGTTGTCACATGAAAAGATAGAATCAAATATTTACAAAATTGTTACCAGTCCATGTGCCTGGTGTAACAGGCTGGTTAGTTCTGGTAGGGGGGTAGCATGTTGTTTTTTCTGTATTATTTTTTTTTTGTTAACATGATTCACTGTAATTTTATATACAGAAATATGTCTCAAAGCTTTGAAGTATTATACCTACACACCTGTTACAGGCAGGAATTTTAAATGAATGAATCTGAATAAAGCGTTTCACATACATAAAATATTTTTGCATTATATGTAAAGAGTCGTGTTTCAGGCCTCAACACTAAATGGATTACTAAGTCTCCTATGTATTACAGAAAATATGATATAAACCTATAACAATGTAGCATATATTTATGTCATGGTAGTACTTCAGTTGCACCTTTAAAGTGTTACTAAACCCACAACAGTAAAATCAGTCTGTATATGCAGTAAAGCATGCTCGTTATACTCACTGTGGAACCTAAGGGGTTAATCCTCTGTATTGTGTAAAAAGGCTGTTTGATCCTGTCTTGTCTGATCCTCCCCTTCTTCCACGTACCCCATTTCATCTGCTGAAAGAACACAGCCTCGGGGACACTCTGCACATGCTCAGTTTGGTGTGTAGTGCCAGAGAGTTTTTTCATGGGGGAATGCATGTGATCAACACAGGGCCAATCAGCACTGTCCAGACAGAGGGCCAGGGGTTATGCAATCTGATAGGGTAGTGAGAGGGGAATGAAAACTCCTTCTACAAGCTTGAACCAGTGCTCTGTTGGACACCAATAGAAGTCACAAGACTGCTATAACTGCTGATGAAAAAAGGTATTTAGCAGTTTATATTTACTACAATAATTGCATTTCCAAGTTCCGTGTACTGTGGGAGACCATGTACAGTGAATGCAGGGTCCTGGGTTTAGTAACACTTAAAAGCACACCTGTCTGAATAAAAAAAATTTCCAGCCCACCCGGTCTGATGGCTTGCCACTCTGAACCCAGCGTTGCTCCTGCCAGCAGACGCACACAAGGACTGAGACTTGGCAGCTGGCCATTCATTACCCAAGTACTGTATTGAAGGCCAATGCCAAGGGCTGCATTTTGGGGATCTGTGAGAGTTACAACAAAATGGGTAGGAGACCAAGCTACATATATAGTTACATAGTTAGTCTGGCTGAAAAAAAGACAAAAGTCCAGCCAGTTCAACCATTACAAAAAAAAAGTTATAATCTTATACCCACAGTTGATCCAGAGGAAGGTAAAAAAGCCAGCACAGCATGATCCGATTTGCTCCTGCAGGGAAATAAATTCCTTCCTGATCCCCCGAGAGCCAATTGGATATTCCCTGGATCAAATTTACCTATAAATGTTAGTAACCAGTTATATTCTGTGTATCTAAGAAAGAATCCAGGCCTTTTTTAAAGCAATCCACTGAGCTGGCCAGAACCAACTCTTGAGGGAGTCTATTCCACATTGTCACAGCTCTTACTGTGAAGAAACATTTCAGTGTTTTGGAGATTAAATCTCTTTTCCTCCAGACGTAAAGAGTGCCCCCTTGTCCTCTGTGATGACCTCAGGGTGAATAGCTCTACACCGAGTTCACTATATGAACCACTGATATATTTATACATGTTGATCATATCCCCCCTTAATCTCCTCTTCTCAAGAGAGAATAAATTCAGTTCCTCTAATCTTTCCTCATAGCTGAGCTCCTCCATGCCTCGTATCAGTTTGGTTGCCCTTCTCTGTACTTTCTCCAGTTCCCCAATGTTCTTTTTGTGAATTGGTGCCCAAAACTGAACTGCATATTCCAGATGAGGTCTTACTAATGATTTGTACTGGGGTAATATGATATCTCTCTCTCTGGAGTCTATACCTCTTTTAATACAGGAGAAGACTTTGCTAACTTTAGAAACTGCAGCTTGGCATTGCATGCCATTATTAAGCTTGTGATCTACCTGAACCCCCAGATCCTTCTCCACCATTGATTCCACATCCACTGCCACCCCTCTGTCCAAGTGTACCACATCCACCGCCACCCTTCTGTCCAAGTATACCACGTCCACCGCCACCCCTCTGTCCAAGTATACCACATCCACCGCCACCCCTCTGTCCAAGTATACCACGTCCACCGCCACCCCTCTGTCCAAGTATACCACGTCCACCGCCAACCCCTCTGTCCAAGTATACCACATCCACCGCCACCCCTCTGTCCAAGTATACCACATTCACAGCCACCCCTCTGTCCAAGTATACCACATTCACAGCCACCCCTCTGTCCTAGTATACCACATTCACAGCCACCCCTCTGTCCTAGTATACCACATTCACAGCCACCCCTCTTTCCAAGGTTTTGCTCACCTCCTCATACAAAGAAATCAGATTTGTTTGACAACTTCTGTTTTTCATGAATCCATGCTGTCTGTTGCTTAAAGCTGAAGCCATTTTTTAGCTCACTATATGGAGCTCACTATATGCTGTGGCATTGTGTGGATGGATGCCAATTTGTTGTATTCCTCGATGTGTCTGACTAGCCAGTATTCAACCCGACCAGCACCTTCAAAACTGTGACCAGTCAGCTGGGACAACAGATCGGGGCATTTGAGCGTTTTTTTGGCTACGGACTTATGAGAGTATCTTAACTGTACATGTTTATCATCAAAATGGTAATAAACTCAAAACCAAAAATGTAATATATTGTGACCTACCAACCATTAGATGTAGTGGCTGCATTAGTTTTCTTTTTTTAGGCTTTTTCCTCTGTTTTCCCCTGGTGATCTGGCCAGTAACACACCTCCTGTATCTGAGTGTCCCCACTCTGGATGAAGGAGCACAGGGGACTGGCTGCATTGCCAGTCTGGGGAGGGAGGGCAGTATTAGAAGTACTAGCAGATTTAAATACAATACTAAATTGCAGTTGAACTCCAGTCAATATTGTATAATCCGTTACAGCAAAGAGGTTTAATTTTTTAATTTAACCCCTTCACGCCTAGTGGTAAAACAAATCTTAATGCCTAAGCACAATTTTGCAACGTTGACGTGTTAGTACAACCGTACATATCATCACAACTACTTTGTACATCCAGGTGAATTATATCTTGTTTTTTTTAGGACAAATTGGACTTTCATTTGGTGGTAAATGGTAATGGATATCTCCTCTCAGTGATACCGCGGTCTTTGTGCTGGTAGCGTGCCATGCGGCGCGCTTCCAGCAGAAAGACAGGTACGCAAATATGCGGCCCCACGGAAAAAAGCCCAGTTCTGTGAGGCCACATATTTGTGTTACGTCGGCATCAAGGGGTTGATTTTAAGCACCCCTGCCAGGGTTAAATGGTTTGTCTCATCCCTGTAACTGCAAGAGAGCTTATGGATCAACAGTTGAAAATAGAAGAAAGAAAGCCTAAAAAAATAAAACTAATGCAGCCATTATGTCCAAGAATTGGTAGGCTTCAATATAATAAATGTTTGCTTTTGGGTTTAATACTGCTTCAAAGATATTTTATTTTTATATGACAGGTTTGCTTCAAAGTGTAAGTGTATGCAGACATGAAAGTCCCCCATCTAATTCAGTTAGGAATGCATTTAAAACAGTGATATGATGTATTTTTCATAGTGCCTCAATCTATCTTTCCATTTACCTTCTGCAGTCCCAGAAACAGTGCACAGCAACATTCAGCATGGGAAAGTGAGGGGAGCCACACTGGCTTTATACATTACACAGTTCTGGGAATGAAATGAAAACAAATATTCATCTGTAGATATGTCACTTAATTATATCTGGAAACTGACAGCAAATGTATGTTTTACAGGTAAAATGGATGATGTATTGGATCGTATTTGCCTTTTTCACAACTGCAGAAACTTTAACTGATATTATCCTTTCTTGGTGAGTACTTGAATACTTTGGAAATATTAATAGATTGTCAGATCGATAAATGCATGTACAAGTATAATGTGTTTAATATTATAGTATTTATGATGGAACATTTCTTGGCACAGAGTCAGTCAGTCTGTCAGGTCAAGTCAACTAACTGGTTTCCATTCAACTTTTCGAGTTATCCATTAGTGTAGTTTATGGGAATTAAGCAAATCAATGAAGTACATTATTTCCACAGACAAATTGGCAATTAGGCAAGTGTGCTGTTTTCTATAGAATGATGGGAATATATATATACTGTATGTAAAAAGTTTTCCTTTTCCCTTTTTCCTCTTGAGATTGTCACATGCAGTCCTTAAATAGCTACAGCATTGATGTCAATCCAGCCATGAATCTGTGTTTTACACTAAAAGGTGCTAACTGGTTTTTCACTTGTGCTAGGTGTGACCTGTACTGTGCCGCAGTCAGCCAGAACCAGCACTGTTGTTACAGCATTAATGTGATTTGTAGCACATTGACCGTGCATTCTATAGCATTCATGTTTGTATAATTAGTTTTGTCTTTGACAGGCTTGAAGTATCCATCTTTATGCAGTAAAATAAGTAAGATTCATTGTTTAGAGCATTAAAGGGAATGATCCCAAACATGCAATAGGCTTTTATCACTTAAAGTGTTACCAAACACAGGACCCTGCATTCACTATATCTGGTCTCCCACAGTACACAGAACATGGAAATGCAATCATTTTAGTAAATATAAACTGCTAAATACCTTTTCTCATCAGCAGTTAGAGCAGTCTTGTGACTTCTATCAGTGTCCAGCTGAGCACTGGTTAAGCTTGTAGGAGAAGTTTTCATTCTGCTCTGTCCTATGAGGCTGCATAACCTCTGACCCTCTGTCTGGACAGTGCTGATTGGCCCTGTGCTGATCACATGCACCCTCGCAATGAAAAAAACCTCCCTAGCCATACACATTAAACTGAGAATGTGCAGCGTGACTCCTAGAGCTCTTACATCAGCAAATAGAAGAAGGGGCGGATCAGAAAAGACAGGATCAGACATCCTTTTTACACAATGTGGAGGATTAACCCCTTAGGTTCCACAGTGAGTATAACAAGCATGCTTTACTGCATATACAGACTGTTGTGGGTTTAGTAACACTTTAAAGGAATTGCCAGATTTGACAAATCCTGACATTTAGTCAAACTTAGTCAAAACTTTTTTTTACCTTAATCCATTCTCTGCAGTAAGTTAAAAATTCCCACTACTTGTTGTGCCTCCCCCCTCCACCACCCCTCTAATCATTTACCTGACTCCTCTCACTGATCTAGCACTGCTGTCCCAGTTGCAGCACAGCTCCTCCACTTCCTGGTATTACAGGAGACATTGGGAGCAGCGGGAGCCATAGGATGTTGTCAGTCAAATCCTGTAAAGGAGTGGGAGACATGACGAGTCACGCTGTTTGTGTCTATGGATGCACACAGCCAGGCTTGAGAGTGTGACTGCATGAGTGGTGCCCCTTAGCACATGGCTTCGTGAAGGGGCACCTGCAGGAAGTAGGAATGGGCAGAGTTAACATGGGACTGCCAAAATGGAAGTAAGGGACACAATATCTATGCACAGAGCAGATAAAGTCCATCTCCAGGCAAAAAAAAAAAGTTCTCCCATGCAGTGGGGCTGCGCCTGCAGCGTATTGGTCAAATGCTAATTTGAGAGGTGAAAGGAGATACACATCTCGATTCCCCCAGCATAAGACTGGTCCCTGTGGTTCCTCCCCCCCCCCCCCCCCCCCATGGTCTAGCAGTCTTTTACGATGGACTGTTCCTGATGTCATCAAGCCCAGAGCAGGCTCCATAGGCGAGGAACAGTCCACCTCTGGACAGTGGGCAAGCACTGTTTTCTGGTGGAACGAAGGATCGGGTGAGTATAAGCTTTCTCCTTACCCTTAGCCATAGCGAACTGTTGACCCATGTAGTGTAGGTACAGCCCAACTGCACGGGAAAACGTCTTTTTATGGAAGTTAAGAAAAATGGTGCTGCACTACCGCAAACAGGGTCTAAAAGGCCTAAATATATATATATATATATATATATATCTCCTACAAACTCCACTGTCTTGGATTTGTAAAGACATCTAATATAGACAATAACATTCAATGCTGTGCAAAAATTACAGGCATATATAAAAACAGAAAAATAAATAAATGTCTGAGACTAACAAAAAAAGCTGCAAAACCACACATACGTCCCTTAACCACTAGCCTACCGGGCACTTATACCCCCTTCCTGCCCAGGCCAATTTCCAGCTTTCAGCGCTGTCACATTTTGAGTGACAATTGCGCGGTCATGCAACACTGTACCCATATGAAATTTTTATAATTTTTTTTTGTGACAGATAGAGCTTTATTTTGGTGGTATTTAATCACCTCTGGGTTTTTAATTTTTTCTTAAACAAACCAAAAACCACAGAAAATTTTGAAAAAAAAACATTTTTTCTTAGTTTTTGTTATAAAATTTTGTAAATAAGTGATTTTTTTCTCCATCACTGATGTGCGCTAATGAGGCTGCAGTGATGGGCACTGATAAGATGCACTGATGGACACTGATAGGTGGCACTGATGAGGAGGCACTGGTAGGTGACACTGATGGGCATTGACAGGCATCACTGATGGGCACTGATATATGGCACCACTGATATATGGCACTGGTAGGCACTGATAAGCGGCACTGACTGGCACTGTTAGGTGGCACTGATGGCACTGATAGGCGGCACTGACTGGCACTGATAGGTGGCACTGATTGGCAGCACTGATAGGCATAGGCATTGATGGGTGACACTGAAAGGCAGCTCAGATGGGCACTGATATGTGGCATTGATGTGCACTGGTAGGCACTGATATGTGGCATTGATGTGGCACTGATGGGCACTGGCAGGTGGCACTGTTCAGCACTGACAGCTGGCACTGATGGACACTGACAGGTGGCACTTCTGGGGCCACGCTGATCATCATTGCACACTGATCATCAGTGCTCTGATGATCAGTGTACATGTCCCCTCCGCGGAATGCCGATTACCAGCTCTCCTCTCCTCTCGAGCTGTCAGCGTGACAGCTCGAGAGGAGAGAAATGCCGATAACTGGCATTTCCCTGTTTACATGTGATCAGCTGTGATTGGACACAGCTGATCACATGACCGAGCCGACACCTTCGGCTCTTTCCGTGGATCGGTGATCCGCTGTGTCTGAGGGACACAGCGCACCGCCGATTGCCGCGCTGCGCACTCCCTGAGCCGCGCATGCGCGGTGAGAATAGAAGGACGTCATATGACATCCTATCAGAACGAGAGAACCACCTTGCACCCGTCATTGGACTATATGGGGGAGGTGGTTAAACAAGGGCATAAGTGACACAGATCACAAAATAAGGACGTGATAGACACATGGCATAAATATTGCCTAAAATCTGTGCAGTTAGAAAAGACTGACAACTGGCATAAATGTTGCCTATAAAGATACACGATGAGAAGATCAGGATAAACCTGATTAAAAACAAACAACAGGACCAGAAAAGTGTCCTTCCACATATAAGTGTCTCAAAGAAGTGATGGTGACCACAGAAAAAATAAACAATAACGTGCTCGGGTCCCTAAATTTGGGACTTAATGTGCTATATAAATAAACCTCAAACTACGACAACAAAGGAATATTAAAAAGTGACACAATGTGCTAAATAAATAAATAAATGTAATACTATGCAAAAATTCCAAAAAAATGTGCCACCAATAGTGACAATATTAAACAAATGTCCACGTGTGAAGTCCACAAACAACTGGATATAGTAAAATTTCCAGCAAGATATAAGTGGTGCAGGTTCAGGGAAGTGAGACCTGTCACCGGCTGGATTGCCCCCTCACTTTCATGTAGCGACCCCAAGGGACCAATATGCCTTCAAATATCAAAAACAGCTATGTGACCAATCAGAGGGTACGGATCCGGATTAGCAATGATGGTGGTATCCCCCTTACGACACTGTAGATATGGCCAATCCTGGCATCTGGGTCTCTTTCGTATACGACAGTAAACAGTAAGCTGCTCCATTATCTTAAGTTATATGTAAATTTTGGGTAGTGCACGTGGTTCATATACAATCTGTTTGGGTAATTTTTATGGGGCTCCAGCAGAAACTGGGGTGGCAGGCAGAAGTGGTGAGTTCAAGCATCGGAGTGTACTGTTACACAGCAGATGGGGTAGGGAGTGGAGGGATGGGTTTGCTCTTCTTTCATCACAGGTTGACATTATCTTGCTGGTTACAATGGAAGTTGGTGTATAATGGTTCCAATAACAGCAAGCTGTGGTTTTTCTAGAAAAAAATATAGAAGGATGAGATTGTGAAGTCAGTATGTCCCATACACTTGTTAGTTCTTTGTTACGTCTAAAATGACCTAGCCTGGCTAGTAATTCCACTGTAGAGTTTACTTTATGAATGCCTTTTGGTGACCTGATGCACAACGCAATGAAGCTGAACCTGGGGATGAGCAAATATTGGCTAAATACAATACATCTTACTTAAATTGGGAGTGCTTCTTCCAGATTTGTGCAAGTAATTCAGTGTGAAACCTTGTGCAAGAGCTTCTTTTATTAAAGTGTTACTAAACCCACAACAGTAAAATCAGTCTGTATATGCAGTAAAGCATACTCACTGTGGAACCTAAGGGGTTAATCCTCTGCATTGTGTAAAAAGGCTGTTTGATCCTGTCTTCTCTGCCCCTCCTCTTGTTCAAGTGTCTATGCTGATAAGACAGACTGAACCCGTAGCCCTTCTGCACATACTCAGTTTATTGTATATTGCTAGAGAGGTTTTTTTTTTTCTTGGGAGAATGCATGTGATCAGCACAGGGCCAATCAGCACTGTCTAGACAGAGGTCAGGGGTCCTGCATCCTCCTAGAGCAGAAAGAAAACTCCTCCTACAAGCTTTAACCAGTGCTCAGCTGAAGTCACAAGACTGCTCTAACTGCTGATGAGAAAAGGTATTTAGCATTTTATATTTACTAAAATAATTGCATTTACATGTTCTGTGTACTGTGGGAGACCAGATATAGTGAATGCAGGGTCCTGGGTTTAGACCAATCATTAACATTCTCTCCTTCTGCAGGATGACTGATCTTGTCTCCACCTCCTCCTGTGGTTTTCGACAAGAAGCCTGAAGTGGGTGGAGCCTACTAGCTCCCTCTTATAGCTCTGATGTCTGCGCAGGCTATGTACAGCACAGTGATGATGTCACTATTACTTTTATAAAGTAACATCAGGGTTTTCAAAGGCATTTGGTTCACATAAAGTGGAATTATATACTTTGTGGCTGTTGAGAAATAGGTTGAAATGAAAGTGTTTGTGTCTGAAGTTCAGCTTTAACCACTTCGGACACTTTTACCCCTGTCCTGTCCAGGCCAATTTTCAGCTTTCAGCGCTATCACACTTTGAATGACAATTGCACGGTCATACAACACTGCACCCATATGAATTTTTTAGCATTTTTTTGAGACAGATAAAACTTTATTTTGGTGGTATTTATTCACCACTGGGATTTTTTTTTTTTTTTTTTTGCTATATAAATGAAAAAGTCCAAAAATGTTGAAAAAAGTGTTTTTCTTATAAAATTTTCTTCATAAATCTTGGACAAAATGTATTCAGTATTAAAAAAAATAACCCAAATTAGTTTATAATCAAAAATGATAATTTTTCACTTTTTTTTTTTTACATTTTTTATTTAATTTTTTTATATCATTATTTATGTTTTTTTTTAACATACTGTCACCCTAGCAGTACAGTGTCACCATAGTAACACTGTACTTGTGGGGGGTGATGAAGATTTTTTTTCTTTGCTTACACTGATTGTTTTTACGCCCATAAAGGCTGTAAAAGCAATCATTTCTCCTCTCTGGCTGCATTCTTGCTGTCATTGAGAAACTACTGTGCAAGCTGTGATTGGTAACAGCTGGTCACATGGTATAAGGCTGTTGTGAATAGCCTTGTACCATGTGACCTCTGTGATCATTCACAGATTTCACTAGTAGTAAGCAATGATGTCAGGAAGTGACATCTTGCTTACTACTATTCATGTGATCACTGATTAGCCAATCAGTGATCACATGATCGGGAACTCACACAGAGGTCCCATACAGCGATTGGTGTTCCACTGTGTCCTCCGGACACAGCGGGCACCGGATCGTGGTGAGCATGCTCCCAGGGAGCACGCACAGGCTGTAAATGCGGGCGCCGTTTATGAACGGCAACCCGCTCCAGCACTGCTCCCGTCCAGCCATTTATGTACATGGACTGGACGGGAAGTGGTTAAACAGCAACTTAGCTCTGGAAGTTTTCCTCAAGAAAAGTCAGGCAGAGGACAAAGGAATAGTCATCAGTATTACCTGCAGTCTCCCTGACTTACCATGCCTTGTTATGGACTGAATCTTTGTGTGGAGCCAGCCATCTTTGTTGGAGGCAGGGCTTTGATTTCCAGTGTCAGAGCCCCCAGCATTAACAGTTCAATATTGACATCACCATGCCTCTCTTTCCAGATCTCCTAAAACGTTCAGTCAGAGACAGCAGTGCCTTAGATCTCACACTGCAGATATTCCTATTATATATGAGGGTGTATGCTCAGAAGTGCCTAGGAAAAAAAGTACCATAATTAAGGTTACTATTTAGGTAGAATTAAAGTTTCTAAATATTTCCTAAAACATAGCAAATATTCACTTTTTGAGTGCAGGTCTACTTTAAACAGAACTATTTTTTTTATATCTTTTGTTCCTACTTTACATACAATACAAGATTGTTTTAGCCAAGTTCAGTGCACAGTCTTTTTGGAAGGAGTGCATCAGGGATTGTGCTCACTTTCTGTTTCCCCACTACTGCGTGGGAGGGTATCTTGCTATAGTCACATGTTCGGTTCTAGTGTTGTAAAAGGAGAACAGCAATGAGCAATCACATGAGCAGAAGTATCATTTCTGGGGAGTTCTGTGCACCCACAGTGTACAGAATTCTCCCATTCAGGCGGCCATGTTTTCATTTTTTTATGCAAACTTCAGAATCATAGCTGGTTCCAGATTGAACTGGAACTGTATATTTTTTGAACTGTAAATGACAAAAAAGGCTTGTTAAGCAACTTTATATGGTATATCAATGTAACACGTGGCTAAACTGAGACAAATGTAATACATTGCTGTAATGGCTGCCTTAGTTTTCTTTCTTCAGCCATTCCCCCTTTGTTTTCACCTTGTAATGCTGTGTGGCAACACACTTCCTGTGCCTTCAGTTCTATGCTTACTTATCTGTAGAAGCCACACATACTGAACTCTAAACCATTGGTGTACTTAGGTTTTATTCTGCCCTAGGCAACACAAAATCCCCCCCCCCACCCCCAAGAGAGCCTGAAATTGACCAACAACACCCCTGGACCCCCACCCACCTGAGAGAGCCTTCCACTACCATCGCCCCCATACACCAGCCACTCCCCTCCCAGTGAGAGAGAAAGACACTCACCTTCACAGCTATGGACATCCCCGGGAACGAGTGTCAAGCAGCCTGCAGCCTCTCTCAGTTCCCACCTGGTCCCCAAGCCGCATGTGTCCTCTCTTCCATCCCTTCTGCTGCCCCCCTGAAAAATGCCGCCCTAGGCAAATGCCTTGTTTGCCTTGTGGTAAATACGCTTCTGCCTCAAACATGTCTGCCATTGTTCACCTGTATTACATGGTGGTTTGATGAGACTAGTAATTTAAAAATATAGCGAAATAACATTGTTTATTTTGTCACTTAAAGAGAGAAGGACACTGAATGTTTGGCAAGATAAACAGGTATTTTCTGTACTTGCTAAAAATGTCCTTAGCCTAATAAAAGAAAATAAATGCAGCCACCACATCTAAGGACTGGTAAGCAATATGATACCTTTTTTGTTTTTTTGGTTTAGATACACGTTAATAAAAGTGCAGTTAACCTTTAGGCCCCTTTCACAAGGGTGATCCGATCAGAATCTAGTGTATTCTTGCGGCTGGGTTCACAGGTAGATGCAAATAGTTGCAGCTGCTTAGCCTGTACAAAGCAATGACAGGTTGACAGCAGCCACAGCTGTCCACCGTTGTTCCCATGTAATCATACATCAAGCAGTTGGCTGTGGTTTGGGACAGGTGATCGTTTCTGGACACCCCAGCTTGCACTCCATTTGCGATTACATACTGAAAGCTGCTCCTGCCGTCAGCCTGTCATTCCTTTGCACAAAATGAGCGGCCACAGCTATCTGCATTCACTTGCCACAGAAATACAATGGATTACTTGCTGCAGCTGACACTTATAACACATCAACAAGGACTTATGCAGGCCATACATGGGTTGAATTACGAACAATATTTCATCCGAAAATCACACATGTTGTTCACTCGGTACTCCGATGGTGCCATCAATAATTTAAAAAATTGGCCCGACCAAGTCATAAAGTTCACCTTATATAACAGGCGAAACTTCTGTTCCTTCCAGATAAAGGCTCATGTGCATATTCTTTTTGGAAAAACGATTGTACGATTTGACTATCATTGAGTCGAAAATCGGTCGTTTTTCACAAATTTTTCAACATACCTGATCACTGAAAAGGGGAGGAACCACAAAAATTGGCCAGTACCATTGACCCACTAACAGAGTGAAAATCGGCTGATTATTCTTAGGTTCGATTTTCGGACCAAAAATCGGTTGAATTTCGACCCATGTATGGCCAGTATTAGGTTCACGATAGACTTTTGGAGTAATATAGGAACTACATCAAACACTACTGAGCAGCGAGGGAATCTTATATTGTATATATAGAAGTGGTGTATATACGAGGGCTGTAATGCAAAAGTAATCCATAACTTTTTATTAACTTACATATTGGTAACTCTTCCTCTATAGAAAGGTACTATTCAACATAGTCTCCATTGCAATTTATTTCTATAGTTGAACCCAACTCTTGAATCCGCTTTGAAAAAATTCAGGTGTGCACTGTTGTACCCACTTCTTCAAGTGCCACTTTCATCTCATCTGTGTCATCAAATCATTGTTCCCAAAGACTGTCCTTCATTGGACAAGTAGAAGTGGGAGGGCTGTATGGAGATGGAGGGCTGGGCTGTAAGGTGGATAGGGAACCACTGACCAGCTATATTAGCTTATCGCCGGATTTGTTGACAAAGATGTGTGTGGTTGCACATTGTCATGTTGAATGTGGATCGATTTTAGCTTCACTTCCTCCTAATGGATTCCCTAAGCTTAAGTACCTCAAACTGTTTCCTGGTCACGTTATGGCCATGTTCCAGAAAATCATGGAGAATGTCACCCTTGCCATCCCAAAAAAAAGTCATGATGACTTTCTGTGCGGACTTCTGGCTCCTGAACTTGGGGAAGAGGTGTGACGTTATTCCACCGACTGATTCTTCATTTCCAGATCATAAAGATATGCCCATGTTTCATCCCCTGTCTCCAGATCAGCAAAAAAACTTGACTTCATTGGCTTCAAACCCTTCCAGGAGAACAGAGCAGACTTCCACCCTTCTTTCTTTCAACTCTGGTGTCAGTTGCCCAGGTATCCACTTTGCACACACTTTCCATTACCCTAAGGCCCTTTTCACTCCATTTTGCTTAGCATGGGATTTGTCCACTGATACCCTGTTGACCTGAGTGGAGCGGCTGGATGAGAGGTCTGTGTCTGCTCCACTTATGCAGAGCGGATACAGACACAGTCTGCTTTGCTCTATGGTCAGCCAGATATAAACGGACTAGCTGTCCGTGTACAACTGACTGCACTCCGATCCGATTTGGCCAGATAAAGGGGAAGGGATCCTCCTTCCATTTGATTTTGCTGGATAAGATCGGATTGGAGGTAGGTGGGCGTAAACGGACACGAGTCCTGTTTACACCTGACTGCCAATGGAGGGTCCAGTCAGGTCCTCCTGAAAAACAGACAGGTGGACCCGATTGGAACGCTCATGTGAAAGGGGTCTAAGTCGTCCACCATCTTCCATATGGCATTGTGACCACAGTCCCTTTGTTTAACTAGTTCACAAATTCTGGTTCATCTATTTGCGTGTTTGTCCACTCGCTGACCATTCGTGTCAGTGGTTGCAGTTGATGGTCTCTCACTGTGTGGTTTGTCTTCAGTGCTTGTTTCTCCATCTTTAAATTTTGTTATCCATCTATGCACATTGCTCTTGTCAGTGGTATCATCTATGTAAACATTCTGAAGCCTTCTGTGGATTTCGGACAGCCTACACCTCTCCTTGGTCAAGAACTCAATGATGGCATGTTGCTTTTGCTTGGAATCCATTTTTTACCTGCTAGGAAAAAGAAAAGTTACCATAGAGAAAGGGTTAAACTACCAGCATGTGAAAGTTTAACAAATTATGTAAATAATAAAAATGTGATGCCCACTTTTGCATTACTTTCCGTTCAGCCCTTGTATACACAGTGGGGAAAATAATTATTTGATCCCCTGCAGATTTTGTAAGTTTGCTCACTTACAAAGTACTGACGGGTCTAAAATTCTATCATAGGTGTATTGTAAATGAGAGAGACAGAATATCAACCAAATATCCAAAAAAATACAGGATACAGATGTTATAAATTGAGTTTCAGTTCAGTGAGTAAAATAAGTATTTGATCTCCACTTACTACTTGGTGGAGAGACCTTTGTTGGCAAGTACATAGGTAAGACGTTTCTTGTAGTTGGTTACCAGGTTTGCACACATCTCAGGAGGGATTTTGGTCCACTCTTCTTTATAGATCTTCTCTAAAACCTTAAGGTTTCTTGGCTGTCGCTTGGCAACTCAAAGTTTCAGCTCCCTTCATACATTTTCTATAGGATTAAGGTCTGGGTAGGCCACTCCTTTGTTGCCTTGGCGGTATGTATTGAGTCATTGTCATGCTGGAAGACCCATCCACTGCCCATCTTCAGTGTTCTGGCTGAGGGAAGAAGGTTCTCATCCAAGATTTTACAGTACATAGCCCTGTCAATTGGCCCCTCAATGCAGCAAAGTCAGCCTGTACCTTTAGCAGAAAAAAAGCCCCAAAGCATAATGTTTCCACCTCCGTGCTTGACTGTAGGGATGGTGTTCTTAGGGTCATAACAGCATTTTTCTTCCTTCAAACACAGCTAGTCGAGTTAATGTCAAAGAGCTCAATTTTGGTCTGATCTGATGACAGCGCTTTCTCCCAATCCTTCGCTGAATCATTTAGATATTCAATGGCAAACTTCAGATAGGCCTATACATGTGCCCTCTTGAGGAAGGGGACCTTGTGGGCACTGCAGGATTTCAATCCATGGCAGCGTATTGTGTTACCAATGGTTTGTTTTGGTGACTATGGTCCCAACTGCCTTGAGATCATTCACAAACACCTCCTGTGTAGTTCTGGGCTGATCTCTCACTTTTCTCATGATCATCTTTACTTCATGAGGCGGAATCTTGCACTGAGCTCCAGACCGAGGGAAATTGATGGGTGTTTTGTATTTCTTCCATTTGCGAATTATCGCTCCAACAGTTGTCTCCTTCTCACCAAGCTTCTTGCTGATAGTCTTGTAGCGCATTCCAGCCTTGTGCAGGTCTGCAATCTTGTTCCTGATGTCCTTTAACAGCTCTTTGGTCATTTGCCCATGGTAGTGAGGTTTTAATGAAAGAAAGAGATTCTGTGGACAGGTGTCTTTTATACACATAATGAGTTGTCGTTAGGAGCACCTTCTTAAATTGACAGGACTAATTTGTGTACCACATGAGCACATAGCCAGTCAATGGGAGCCAGAATTATTGTTGGTTGGTAGGGGATCAAATACTTATTTTACTCACTGAACTGCAATTCAATTTATTTCGTGTTTTTCTGGATTTCTGGTTGATATTCTGTCTCTATCATTTAAAATTTACCTATGATAAAAATGATAGACCCTTAATTTCTTTGTAAGTGGGCAAACGTATAAAATCTGCAGGGGATCAAATAATTATTTTACCCACTGTATAGAGGTAGTGTAAGGAATTATTTCCCTGTCTGACAAGTTCACAGTACAGGTGTCAGGCTGTTTATTTTTTCTACTTGGTTTTACTTTTGTGCCATTGTAAAACATGTTCTTACTGTAGCTAACTTTAAGCTTTCTTTCCTTTTTTGTCTTACAGGTTTCCTTTTTATTTTGAGTTAAAGATTGCTTTTGTTATTTGGCTTCTATCACCTTATACTAAAGGCTCTAGTGTGCTGTATAGGAAATTTGTCCATCCAACGCTTTCTAGTAAGGAGAAGGTAGGTCTCTAAGTTCCCAAAGACACACCATAAAGTCTTGAGGAAAGCCTTCCCAAAAGAGGGAAGGTCATAATAGCCCCATAGGGGGAGTGTGTGTGTGTGTTCCATAGTTTTGAAATTAAATGCCCAACAAGTTCATATGGGTGAGATGGCCAGGTGTTTATAAGCCTTAGGTCATGTGGTGAATATAAAGAGGAGTGCTCAGTTATCACACTATTTTGTGTTAAAAAGTTGCACACTTGAAAGTTTAAGTCACTATGGAGGAGATCTACTAAAACAGGAGAGTGCAAAATCTGGTGCAGCTCTGTAAAGAAACCAGTTGGTTTACAGGTTTTATTTTCAAAGCTGAATTGAACAAGCTGACTTTGGAAGCTGAGTGGCTACCATGCACAGCTGCACCAAATTCTGAGTGCTCCAGTTTTAGTAAATCATTCCCATTGTGTTGTCCAGGCAGTTCTGAATATTGCTATTTGAATTTTAATACAGGCGTACCTCGGTTTACGAATTTAATGTGTTCTATGGGACTTTCCATATTGCTAAAAATTTGTATACCGAAACACGGTTTCCCATAAGAATGCATTGAAAGCCAATTAATCCATTCCAGAGGTCAGAAAAAAGTTTAAAAAAAAAGTCTTTTATCTGTTCAAAACTCTTTATAAAGTGCACTTTAGAGGCATAACTACTGTACAGGGACATGATTAAAAATGAATTTGTAAATGCATTGAAAACCAATTAATCCATTCTGGAGGTCAGAAAAAAGTACAAAAAAAGTCTTATCTGTTCAAAACTCTGTAAAGTTCACTTTAACCTCCCTGCAGGTATTCCCGAGTCAGGGGCGGACTGACCATTTGGAAACTCGGGCACTGCCCGGGTTCAGTAGGGGGCCCCATGAGATGCCCCTGGTACCTTTTTCATAGGCTTTTTTGAGTTTGGGCAAGGACACAGGGGCCCCTATTGTCCGGGGGCTCCATGAGTTGTCAGTCTGCCCCTGTCCCGAGTGTAGTTCGGGGTAAAGTTTCAGCACCACAAGAGGTAACCCCGAGCTACACTTGGGAATACCCTGCAGTGCTGCTCTGGGATCTCTTCTTCACTTACCTTGTCCTGCGCTCCTGCGATGTCCCTCCTGCAGTGTCCCCTGCAATGTCCTCCGGCCGATGCCGGCATCTGTTTTCTGGGTTCCGTTCCCTGTGATGCCAGGACGTACGGGGATGGAACGGCGGGAAATTTAAAAATGTGAAAAAGTGACATTCACTAAATACACTAAAATCACATAGTAAAACATTACTGTATCAAACCATTTCACATACATTTTGTCCCTAGTGCTTTGTCCTGTGCCCTGCCTGCATTTTTACCTTTTTTTCTGCCTGGAAACTGAGAAATGTCCATGGCGTCCAAAAAGCGTCCCTTTAGGTCAAAAGCGGTTTCAGACCAGCTAGAGAACAGCGATAGTAAATTAGAACCACTTGCAGAATTTAGTGATAATGATTCGTGGGGAAATTCGTCATCAGACACTGAAAACGATTTTGCGACTTTGCTCAGTGATGTGCGAACTTGGCGCTATATTTAAAATTTCATTGTTTTTAGTTTGATTATATTATTGAATTAAATTTATTATTATATTATTATTTTTTATGATTATTTATTAAATTATAATTTATGATTTAGTTTTTCAAATTTTACCATACCCGGGATGTTTACTAGACTCTTGTTTGGACAGATTTCAGTGAGTTATTCCTACAAATTACAGGCCTACAATAAATATACATATTTCCATGCAAAACAATGTACTGCTTTGAGCACAGAAATACTGACATAATCAGACCGCTGGGGAGGTTAAAGGCATAAATATTGTACAGGGACATGATTAAAAAAAGGTTTGTAAATGCATTGAAAACCAATTAATCTGTTCCGGAGGTCAGAAAAAAGTAAAACAAAAGTCTTATCTGTTCAAAACTCGTTAAAAAGTGCACTTTAAAGGCATAGTACTGTACAGGGACATGATTTAAAAAAAAAAAAAATAGTAAATTCATTGAAAACCAATTAATCCGTTTGTATTGCAAAATAGTTTGCAAACCGAGGAATTATTTTCAATGGATTTTCATTCAGAAACTGAAAATTATGTTAACCGAGGCGTTTGTAAGCCGGGGTACGCCTGTAGTTGCATATTTGGGAAAATGTGCCACGATACACAACCTGCTTGCCTGTCAACTTCCCCCAGCGAGCAGGGAGATTAATGCTGCTGCCAAAGGTGAGGACCCTATTGTTGCTAAGATGAGGCCACATCCTACAATGCATGCCTTGCCCCATGGTAAAGCTAGCCCTGTTTATCAATATTTTATTACTTTTTTAATATCAATGTATTGCTTGTTTGACCTTTGTTGTCTGTTAACAACAACCTTTAAGCCGGCCATAGATGGAGACATTTATTTTCCCTGCAGTTGCAGGAAAGAAGAGTGTTCGATTTCCCCCATCAGTACAGTCATTGTGTTCTCCTAGCAGGTTGGAGCTGTGCCCGCCGGGAGAACACAGTGATTACAGTCATTGTGTTCTCCTAGCAGGTTGGAGCTGTCCTCGCCGGGAGAACACAGTGATTACAGTCATTGTGTTCTCCTAGCAGGTTGGAGCTGTGCCCGCCGGGAGAACACAGTGATTACGGTCATTGTGTTCTCCTAGCAGGTTGGAGCTGTCCCCGCCGGGAGAACACAGTGATTACGGTCATTGCGTTCTCCTAGCAGGTTGGAGCTGTCCCCGCCGGGAGAACACAGTGATTACGGTCATTGCGTTCTCCTAGCAGGTTGGAGCTGTCCCCGCCGGGAGAACACAGTGATTACGGTCATTGCGTTCTCCTAGCAGGTTGGAGCTGTCCCCGCCGGGAGAACACAGTGATTACGGTCATTGCGTTCTCCTAGCAGGTTGGAGCTGTCCCCGCCGGGAGAACACAGTGATTACGGTCATTGCGTTCTCCTAGCAGGTTGGAGCTGTCCCCGCCGGGAGAACACAGTGATTACTGCTAACGGCTATATTATCTGCTAGCGGTAATTGCATGTAAAATCCCACAGGCTGGTTGTACCTCCAGCCTGACCTTACATGGTTTGAATCTTGGTCAGTTCCTGCTGAACTGACTGAGATTTGAACCATCTGTGGCCGGCTTTAGTCTTGCAGTTGTACAGGATACTCTCCCTTGACTGAAAATGCTTACTCTTATTTCACTTCACACTGTGAGCTTCTCACAGTGTGCATTAGAAGCTGCAGCACGTCAGGTAGAGCCTGCTTTATTTCTAGGCTGGAGGATGTACATTATAATTTCCTCCCCAGCTTTATTGTCCCTGGTCCATCCCTATTATTCATTGGATTTCAGTTATTTTAATAATGGAAGCTTAGCATCACATGTGGACATTGCCTAGGAAGGTCTGCATTCAGATGTAGCCTACATAAGAATGCCCACTCCTTCAAAGTGACACCTACCCATCAAGGCATATTGATATTTGCATAACCCCTCCAGGGAGCCTAACCACAGCTTTCAGCAGGGCTGAGGGCGTGTGAGTGAAGTACTGAGGCAAGGTGCTATGATGTTTTTTTTAGAAAGCTGTGTACCGAACCCTGTGGGCCCCTCCCAACCATGATCTGCCTGCACTGCATAGAGAAGCAAAAGGGATGAGGGTACTGGGTCTAAAATAAGGTATGTAATGAAAACAGGTTTTATTTAAAAAATTTAATTAGTGTGTTGATTAAGAGACGAGGGAGTTACCAGGCAAAGCAAAATATAAGCAGATAAAACTTCAGCTATAAATACCAAATGTCACATTTTTCATGCATATGTCTTCTCTGAAAAAACATAAGAGAACAAGCCACCATACCATCGTCTGATAGCAGTATCAGATTCAGTACTGCAGTTTAGTAAATCAGTACTGGAAAAAGCTGTTAACTGCTGTTCCTGGAAATAAGACCGTATTCATTGCCAGTCTGGTCATTTAATAAATATACAGCAGAGATCATGATATATGTGAAAGTACTAGCATTTATGGTTCCACAAGTCAAACGTTAAATGCCTGCTTTTATGACCTTACAGGAAATTGATGAGTACATTGCTCAGGCGAGGGACAAGAGCTATGAAACGATGATGCGTGTTGGTAAAAGAGGCTTGAACATTGCTGCTAGTGCTGCTGTCACTGCTGCTACCAAGGTAATGATAAGCTCAAGTCCGTGTTACTCTATGCTGAAAGTTAGAATGGAATGTAAACATTTTATTTTACTGTATGTGTTATCCTTCTCTAACCTCGGTATAGCCCCATGATTGCAGTTTTATTTGACACTGCAGGACTGGTTTAAATAGTTTTCCGAACGTCTGCTTTTGCTCCATGTGTGTCCAGTGTCCTCTGACTGTGTTCTCATGGTTAGTAAAATCGTGATCAGTCATGTTGTAAGCAAAATATGTTGTAATAATATTATATTCTACCCTGTATGTAGCTCAGTAGGACACGGATTCTCTGCTGTTCTTGGCGGGCTCACTCTGGTGGGTTCGGACTAGGATCCGAACATGCCTGAGCTCATCTCCATTCTTTCTTAAACCACTTTCTTGCGGTCATACGCATATACACAGTACGCATATATACGACCTCTTGGCAGGTGGGATATAACACCGAGTGGCTGAGTATATGCATCCCTATGTCAACTCTTTACTGTGCTGAGAGCGCGCTCCCTGCAGGTTCACAGCACAGTAACTGGCTTGTACTTCTTGAGATTGGGAGCTTTCCAATCATGTGACAGCTGTGACTGTCAATCACCGCAGTCACATGATCGGAATGCCCGCCTCTGCATCGCGGCATTTAAAACCTGTTAAAGGGCTGGGAGGCGGCACTGGGAAGTGGTCAATAATGAGATCACATACCCAAGTCATTGGTGTAATGTAGACCACTTAACCTTCTTACATTTGTAGTGCTTGGATTGTGGGCATTTATTTTATTTTTGCACACCTTGGGTTAAAAGAAAAGCAGGGTAGTGCGAGAAGGTGGGTGATCTTAAATGGTTCACGTACTGTATATAGTTGAAAACTTACAGCAATTTCTTTAGAGAAAAAAAGGTAATGATTGTGTTTCACTCCTTTTGTGTTGAGATCATATACTTATTTGAAAGGTTAAGTTCACCTGTTGAAAAAATAATCAATAATAAGTAAAAAAACTTGATTTTTCATTTTTTTTTACTTTGCTGCCTGTAGAGCATTGCACCCACGATCATCATATTGCAGGTGCAATGCCAGGATCCTGCAGATTCTGAGTCAGCTGTCTGTCCGTACCTCCCATACGGGTAGACAGTTACTGAATGGCAGGAAGAATAAATTAATTCGTAGAGTGCTCACCAGCGTCCTCACAGTTCATTGAGAACTACAGGCCATCTGACGTGGTGGCAGACAGTACTTTTAGTTAATTTATTTACAAATCTCTACGAATGAATGACAAGGCGGTGTGGGTGGAGCCCCACACATCCACGCCGTTTTCAATTTGTGACAGTGAGTGTAGGGAGAGGATCCGTCGCCCGCTGTCACAATGAGGAATCGGGGGTGTTGGCAGGTGCATGATTGCAGCATGTACCATGTTACACCCTGAATACTGGTTTAATGTAACATGGTAAAAAGGTGAAATTGTCCTTTACTTTTGTAGGTGACCCCATAGAACAGAGGATCAAAAAAGTTTTATAAAAATGTAATTTTTCAAAATATCATATGCTCATTTAATGTGTCTTCTCTCTCAGGGCCAAGGAGTGTTGTCGGAGAAGTTGCGAAGTTTCAGCATGCAGGATTTAACTCTCATACAAGACGACGATGCAGTGCATCTGCAGAGTCCTGAGCCTCGACTACGCAGTGCTTCCAGTGGGCTGGTGGAAAGCATTGTAGATCCAGGTAGAGATATATAAATGTTGCAAACCTGTCATAACTCTTCTATGTCTTTCTATGCATTGTCACATTCCATAGCCTTCCATAGCATTTGTGACTTGATGGAGGCATCATCATCTGTGAATTACCATTAGGATAGCATGAGGGCAGTGTGCTGGAACTGCAGTTTGCAGAACTTAATTTTTAGAGCAGTTTTGAAATGTGAATGGTGCCAACACAAATGAGGTCTTAAACTAGAATAGCTGCGTTTTAATGCAAGGTCCACTATAAAGGGTAGAGCCATGTTCCGCAGGACTGCCAAAGACCGCATAAGAATGGCTCCCTATGGAAATGAATAAGGGTTACAACATGTACACACAGGAAGAAAGTTGCCAGCAGAAACACTTTCAGAATAGGGACAGAGTTAATTATTGGACCAGAGAGGTGGAGGTATGCCTTAAAGGACAAGTTGTAGCACAGGTACAGTTGTCTCTTAGGATGTCATTTTAGGGGTTAGGTGTTAAGTATTTAGGTAAGGGAGGGTTATGTTGTAGAGGCTGCTTTTTGTTGTCTGATAAGGGAAAGGAACACTAGAAGACTCGTGCCACAAACCACCAGCTGAGTTGCTGTATATGCAGGCTGATGCAATATTCTGTTCTTAGGAACCTTACCATAAAAACAATTACTGTAAGTGATCATCTTGTACGGCACTGAACTGCATTCAATGGGAGTTCTTGAAGTAATGTCACTGTATATAGTATTATGTTATACTTGTGTATATGAGTGGTAAATCTTGGGCAAACCACCCTGCATTCCAAGGACTTGCTTTTTTTAGATGTGAAATCCAGGACAGAGAACAATTCCAGATTAGGAAAGCGCGTTTTAAAATAACACACCATATATAGAACATTGCTTCTGGAATGACATTCATTATTGATTGTTAAAACTTTCTGTTGTTCAGTATTCTCTACTTTGATATTAATAATGTGATGTTTTAAACTGTCAGACTCAAATAGCATTATGTGAATGCTTTATTGGCTTCACGTCGGTGTGTATCCAACCTAATTGTCCTGATACTCCTCAGTCCGTGTCTCATAGGGAGCCAGGTTAGCACACAGTTGCAGAAGTGGGGCAAGCAAAGGGCTATACAGTGTACCTATCTGTAATTTACCCCTATGAGCCCAAAGGGTCATTTAAAGGAGAAGTACAGCCAAAGATCTTTTGCAGTACCGTATTTGCCGGCGTATAAGACGACTTTTTGACCTTGAAAATCTTCTCAAAAGTCGGGGGTCGTCTTATACGCCGGTACACATGTTAGGGGGGCTGCGGCATTAAGTACAGGGGTTTGCAGGGGCTGATGTCTCTTACCTGGATCCAGTCCCACGACGATCCGGTCCAGGAAGCGCGGCGTCTCCTTCAGTTCGGCCACTGGATGTTCGTGTGGCTGCTCGGCTCCGCCTCCTCACCGGTGATTGGCCGCCAGAACTGTAGCTCAGGAAAGGCACACAGGCGGCCAATCACCGCGAGGGGGCGGAGCCGAGCGGAAGCCCGCCCCCGCGAAAATTGAGTGCCGGAGCAGCAGGTAGGTGTTCTGTGTAGAGGTGCTGCTGCAACCACATATGCTGGCTGCAGCAGCACCAACGAGAACAGGGTCAGCAAGTCTCAGTGGGAGGAATAGTGCCCCATCATTGTGTCACTGATACCAATGATGGGGCACTATTCCTCCCACAAATACCAACGATGGGGCACTATTCCTCCCACTGACACCAACGATGGGGCACTATTCCTACCCCCCCCCACTGACACCAACGATGGGGCACTATTCCCCCCCCCCACTGACACCAACGATGGGGCACTATTATCCACCCCCCACTGACACCAATGATGGGGCACTATTCCCACCCCTCACTGACACACCAATGATGGGACACCATTCCTCCCACTGACACCAATGATGGGGCACTATTCCTGCCACTGATACCAATGATGGGGCACCATTCCTGCCACTGATACCAATGATGGGGCACCTATTCCCCCACACTGATACCAATGATGGGGCACTATTCCTGCCTCCCACTGACACCAATGATGGGGCACTATTCCTCCCACTGACATCAATGATGGGGCAACTATTCCTCCCACTGGTGTGCACTGGAAGAGGGGTAGTCTTATACGGCGAGTATAGCCCAAACACTACATTTTAGCAGGAAAAGTAGGGGGGTCGTCTTATACGCCCAGTCGTCTTATACGCCGGCAAATACGGTACTTCTCATGTGGATCACAGGAGTGCAGTCGCTTTGCACTCCTGTGACCCATTCTCAGCAGACAGTGGACTGAAGTCTGTTGCCAGCTGACGTCACTCAGCCGGTCCAGCCTGGGGAAAGATGCCGACTTCACAGTCGGTATCCACCCCAAAGTCTGGAGTGGCACCCGGCTCTGCCTCTCAGCAAAGCACTGAGAGCCTAAGCCAGCTGTTCCCTCCCCCTTCAAAGCCCAGCTGGGGGGGCTGAGCAGCTAGCAGTGACTGACAGTCACTACTCTCTGCTCAAAGTGGAGAGGAGAACTGAGCGATCAGCGGTCATGTGATCGCTGAGTTCTCAGCCTTAGAGCCGGCAGGGGACAGATGAAGCACTGATGCTTCATCCACTTAGGTAAGTATAAAGGGGGGAAAAAAACAACCTCATGCTTCTTTTTTAATATGTTTTAAAAAAAGTATAAATGTAAAAAGTGTCAATTTGCACCTACATTCATGGCCAAAAATATTGGCACCCCTGCATTTCTGTCAGACAAGGCACCACTTCGCCCAGAAAATTGTTGCAATTACAAATGTTTAGGCATTGCCATGTTTATTTCTTTTGTTTGTATTGGTACGACACAAAAAAGTGGAGAAACAAAAAGCCAAATCTGACACTTTCCACATAAAAGCCCAAAAATGGACTGGACAAAATTATTGGTACCTTCTCAAAATTGTAAGAAATAATTGCATTCCAAGTTTGTGATGCTCCTGTAATTTGTAATTAAACTCACCCGTATCAGTTAACAGGTGCTGACAATATAGAAATCACACCGGCAACCAGTTGAAATGGTGAAATATTGACTCACACTTTCTGTTGTGTGTCTCTGTGTGCCACAAGGAGTATGGAGAAGAGAAAGAGCAGCAAAGAATAGTCTGAGGATTTGAGAACAAAAATTGTGGAACAGCATGGACAATCTCCCTATTTAAGGTTTAGTTTACACTTGCAGTTGGGGAAAGTAAAAACAGGAGGTTGAGCCACGTTTTTACCAACACCACCCCCGCCCAAGGCAGCTGGGGTACAGGGGGTATACACATGCTTTGCATTGTGCTGTGGCAAAAATGATGCCCCTGTTGTATTTGGTGTGCAGTTCTACCTGCTGAACACAACCAATTCAAGTGACTGGGGCTGTGCCAAAAGCACCCCCCATAAATGTGTGCAATGCACGTGGTTGCGGTGGTGTGGGCTTTTAGGAAGTTTAGGAGTTAGTCTTGTGTAAGGAGCCCTAAAAAAGTCTGCAGAATTGTGATATGCCTCCCACACTGATCCATGTGTAATGCAGGTGCTCAGAGTGCAATTTAGGCAATGAAAGGACTGCTGTCTTGTTTCTTTACTTATTTTCTAGTTACATAGGTCACTGTTTCTCAACCTTTTTGCATTCAAACCACTCTTTTGAAATTATTATTCTCGAGGCAACCCATTCTAAAATGTAAAAAGCTAAACTAATAGTTTTACATGACACAGCAGCATCCACACACGCATCGACCAAAAATTACCTCGGATCCGGAGTTCACCTGAGACACAAAGGAATGGCAGACAGACACAAAGTAGTATCTCAGAATGAACTGAATTTATTCTTCCGTGTTTAAACTTATATATGAAACTTAAAACAAAGCATAGAAATATAAGAGCCAATCAATTGACAGGTATGCATTTAACCAATTAGAATATTACATACGTCACTCATGCCCAATCAGTTGGCATATATGTTAATTATTAGTATATGCGTCAATGCTTGAACTTTCAGACACCTTCAGAAAGCAGACAGTTCCTTTTTACCGTTGGCCTAAAATTATTAATACACTTTCAACAGGATGTAGCTCACCGCAGACTTTCAGTCTTAGGCTTAGTTAAGGAAAAAAGGGGAAGTTGCACCTGGACAAGGAAAAAAAGAGGAACTTCCTAACTCCTGACAAAATACCGTTTTTTAAAACAAGAAAGTCAATTCTTTTAAAATACAGGCTTGAAATGGATGCTGATTCTTAAGATGGACGGGCTTTGGCTAAGAGAAACAAGATGGTGGAACATCAAACTTAGGGGCTAATCCCTTCAAACCCCCTCTTAGGTCACACACGTGACCTTACACCTTAGTCACAGGTTGGTACCTGGGGCCCTTAGTAGGTAATCAGGGTTCCCCATATACCAAACCAGGTTTCAAATAAACTGACCAGTGGATTTTCTACTCCTGAGCTTTCAGCTAATTCTTCAAACAATATTTGGAGGTTGTGAAGGGCTCTAATAATACTTCCATCAGAAACAGTGTTATGGGGAATAAGAGTACAACCGCAGGAGTTAAACATTTTACATACTTTCCCTTTATCAGCTAATAACATATCAAAACAGTATGGTTCTACCAAACTTTTGTTAACCATAGCCAATGTAGTTAACCCAATTTACATTCCCGCTAAACTGTACCCCTATAATACAAATTCTGTAACAACATTACTATGTTCAAATCAGGCAAAATTTCCTGATACTGGTTTAGAGACTTAAAAGTAAATATATAATCTGGTAACAGGGAATTTTCTTAACCAAATCAGTACATTCCTTCTCAGTGATATTATCTTTGTACACTCTAATTAGACAGAACATATTAGTTTTTTTTTCCTGAAAAAAGAAGGAACCAGTCTCAATGCCCAATCCATCTTTTGATTGCATCATTACTCCTGTATTCTCCTAGCCACCAGGGCGAGCTGCCTACGGCAGGGGCAGGGACTGTTAAAAGGAACTGGTGGCGGTTGTTCTCT